CCATTTGCCACATTTTGTTCCCTCAGATTTTTTCAGCCCAAGCCAGAGTTTGAATTCAAACCTGTTGACGATCTTGGTGGAACTATCTGTCGGATAATTTTACCTGCTAATGCTCCTATAAGTGAAATCGTCAGTTCACTACTACCTTCGATTGAAGCTGCTAAAAAGAATGCTTGTCTAAAGGCTGTGTATAAGTTACACAACTTGGGTGTACTCAACGATTTTCTGTTGCCAGATGCAGAGGTTGAAATTGAGGACGAATTGTCAGATGAGGAATTTGATTTTGATAAAGTTGAAGGTGCTAAGTGTTTCAGTATAAATATAAGTTGTTTATACTGTTCACTCGTTATATAAAGACGTTTTCTTTATTTCTTGCTAGGTGAAGGCTGTTCACGAGGTGAACTGCATGAGATGCTGGTTCCTGGCTTGTTTAAACAAAAGTGGGATCCATCAAAGAGTTGTGTCATTCTTCATTCTTACTACATAAGGTTTGTGCCTCATCCCGCAGACAGGATGTACAAAAAGTTTGGTCTCTTTATGAAGTCACCTCTTCCCATTGAGGCTGAGACTATGGATTTCGATCTACACCTTGCTCATCAAAGATCTGTAAGTGTGAAGATTTTTCCAGCGGGAGACGCCAAATTCAACAACGATGAGGTATTGGGCTTTTAATTTGATAAAAATTAACTAAATGAACGTATCTAATTTGATATTTTTATGCAGATAAGGCTAGCGGAGCTTTTCCAGGAGGTTTCCCTGAAAATTCTTTTTGAGCGGCGGGAGCTCATTCCAGAATTTGTTCCCTTAGGGCTGCAAGAATCTTTTAGAACAAGCAATTCTACCTTCTATCTTGTTCTTCCAATTAGTCTGCATGATGCAGAAAGTGTTATATCTGTAGACTGGGTGACTATCCGAAGCTGCTTGTCATCTCCAATCTTTAAGGCTCCATCTGGTTTAGTGGAAGATATAGTTCCTCCTGTGGGATCTCATCTAAAGCTTGCAAATGGCTGCTGGAATATTGATGATGTGAAGAACAGCGTGGTTTTTGCGACCTACAAAAAACATTTTTACTTTGTCACTGATATCTGTCATGGAAGAAATGGTTTCAGTCCTGTTAAAGAATCAAGCACCGGAAGCCATTTGGAGAGCATATATAAAGCGTAAGCTACTAAACTACTACTATTCAGTGATTGCTAGATTGCATCTTTTCTCAGGGAGGTCATCTATTCTGCTTTTTCTTTTCTGTTTTGTCTCTCTCTCTAGATTGTTTTTTTTTTTATTATGTTCTTTTCCCATTTTCTTGAGAGCAGTATAGCAATCGTTATAAAATTGGTTGGACTCTAGACTTTAGGATCACATGATTTTTTCTGAGTTTAAGAACTTTCTCATTTATATTCGCAAAACTAGGTATGGCGTGGAACTCAAGCATCCTGTACAGCCACTCTTGCGGCTGAAACCACTTGGTCAGGTTCGGAACTTGCTTCACAACCGAAAGCAGAAGAATTTGGGTAGATTTTCTTAACTGACCTTTGCATATTACAATTTTTTTTTGCATGTACGTGTACACATGGCACACCATTGTATACTCTAATGGTTTACCATTCTCACATTGCCAAAAAACAGAACCACATGAACTTGAGGAATATTTCATAGAGATTCCTCCTGAGCTTTGTCAATTAAAGATAAAAGGATTTTCTAAAGACATTGGAAGTTCGTTGTCCTTGCTACCATCAATCATGCACCGTATGGAGAATTTACTCGTGGCTGTCGAACTGAAACACGTGTTGTCTGCTTCTATCCCTGAGTTAGCTGAAGTTTCTGGTCACAGAGTATAATCTTATTTCACTTGATAACCTATTTGCGTGATTTTCCTAATATCTGTTAATATTTGATCCTTGACCGATGGAGTGAATTGGTATAGGTACTCGAGGCGCTCACAACAGAGAAATGTCAGGAGCGCTTTTCACTTGAAAGGCTTGAGGTGCTCGGTGATGCATTCCTCAAGTTTGCTGTTAGCCGACACCTTTTTTTACACCATGACAGGCTTGATGAAGGAGAGTTGACTCGGAGACGCTCAAATGTTGTTAACAATTCCAACCTGTTTAGGCTTGCAATCAGGAGAAATTTGCAGGTACTCAGAAAACACTTATTAAAGCTGTTCTGCGCAGTTATTGCTGCGCAAAACGCAAGTACTGATCTGGTGCATAAAGCGCCCTCAGAACCCTTGCCTCCGTACATTGAATATATTGTCGGTTACATAATTTCTAAAACAAATATCTTAGATAGAAGTCGACTGAGATGAAGTAATTCAATTACTTTTAGTTTCGGATATTATTTTGACCTCCACCTTTTCCCAGGTTTACATCCGTGATCAAGCATTCGATCCTACACAGTTCTTTGCATTTGGCCATCCATGCAGAGTAACTTGTGACGAGGTAGTGATGAAAGAGGTTCATTCCTTGGATAAGGGTCCTGAGCTTCTGGAATCAAATACTCGTGAAATCAGATGTAGCAAAGGCCATCATTGGTTGCACAAGAAAACAATTGCTGATGTGGTTGAGGCTCTTGTAGGAGCCTTCTTAGTTGACAGTGGCTTCAGGGGGGCCATTGGATTTCTTAAATGGATTGGTATAAATGTTGATTTTGAGCCCTTACAAGTAAGAGATGCTTGTGTTGCAAGCAAGCGCTACATGCCACTCACTACCACTACTCGCTTTAATTTGGCCGCCCTTGAAAACCAGCTTGGCTATAAGTTCCTCCACAAAGGTCTACTTCAACAAGCCTTTATCCATCCATCTTACAACAGGCATGGAGGAGGCTGCTACCAGGTATTTTTTTTTTTGTTTCCTTCTAATTTTTCATTTCTCTCTTTGATATCCATCTATCGTAACCAAATTTTTTTAATTGGGGGTATGCAGAGATTGGAGTTTCTTGGGGATGCTGTTCTGGACTACTTGATGACATCCTATTTTTTTTCAGTCTTCCCAAAACTGAAACCTGGTCAACTGACCGATCTAAGATCGCTGTCAGTAAATAATAAGGCGCTTGCAAATGTTGCTGTTAGTTTTTCGCTAGAGAGATTTCTATTTTGCGACTCTGTTAATCTCCATGAAGCTATAAAGGATTATACCACCTTCGTGGCAGCGTCATCATTGGCAAGTGGACCATCTGAAGGCCCAAAATGCCCAAAGGTCTGTTTGGATCTTCCTTCCATATGCAGATAATATTTTTGCTGCTTCTATTTTGTAAATATTTATGGTGGAGCTTGTGATATTTCGTTGGAGTTTGTTCAGAGCTCTCTTGTTTGATAGTGCGAAACAGATGCTTCATATAATATGTATATGTTAGTGGAACGACTAATAATATAGTTATTATATTTTTGTGCAGGTTCTTGGTGACTTGATAGAATCTTTTTTGGGGGCTCTTTTCATCGACTGTGGGTTCAACTTGAATCATGTCTGGACAATAATGCTATCATTTCTAGATCCAGTCAAAAACTTGTCTAATCTGCAGATTAGTCCTGTGAAAGAACTGCTTGAATTTTGCCAGTCTTACAAGTGGGATCGGGAGATATCAGCGACGAAGAAGGATGGTGCTTTTTCTGTTGAATTAAGAGTGACCAAGAAAGGTTCTTGCCTTGCAGCTTCTGCAACTGGTCGAAACAAAAGAGAGGGCACAAAAAGAGCTGCACAGCTGATGATTACAAGTCTGAAGGTAATTTTTCAAAGAGTCGAAAAAAACTTTTGTGTGTCGACTTTCTACAGTTGATGTGATGTAATTTCAATCTTGAGCTATTATTTGTGTAATTTACCCGCAGGCTCATGAGCACATAAAAACCTCCAATCCGTTGGAGGATGTTCTGAAGAATAGCCTCCGAAATGAAGCTACACTGATTGGCTACAATGAAGAGCCTATAGATGTTGTGGATCTTGATGAGCTGGGCGTTGAAAACCTGAAACTCCAAGAAAACTTTGAGGAGGATCCTGTAAGTGAGAGCACGACTAGTGAAACAAGCAGCTCATACTTCATCAGACGAGTTCTAACCAGGGCACCATCTGGAAAGAAAGACAGCCTTACTCAAAAGACCATCATAGAAGCAGGTATTTGGATGGACACAACATTCGAAGTTAAAAAAAAATTGAATATTACAGTCGATTTAACAGGAGACTGTAGACCTTTTGCAGTATATATCTTAGAGTTATTGATTTTGTTACTAAAACTGGACAGGTGGATCGAGTAGCAAAACCGCAAAATCCCTCTTGCGCGAAACATGTGTAGCCAACTGTTGGAAGCCACCAAACTTCGAATGTTGCGAGGAGGAAGGACCAGGCCACCTGAAATCGTAAGTATATATTTGATCAAACACTTACGATTTGTACAGATTTGTGCATTTATGTCAACAGTTGTGTGCATTTGTTTAGATTCACCTATAAGGTAACCCTGGAAGTTGAAGATGCCCCCAATATGACACTAGAGTGTTATGGTGAGGCTAGACCAACTAAGAAGTGTGCAGCAGAGAAGGCTGCTGAAGCTGCTATGTGGTGCCTCGAGCATACTGGATTCCGTCGCCGATGATCTCGAGAAAAAAAAAGGATGTCTGAAGAAGGATGTAACCAAGCCTGACCTTAAAACCCATAGATCTTGGAGCAAAGACATTTTGAGGATCGGGTTTTCGTCCTTCACTCTTCTGAATATAACTATATGTTTCCACGATGCTTGTGAACCCATAGCAATATAGGATCATATGTGATCTTAAGTAGAACCATATATAAACTAAGCCTTAACTAGTCTTACATTTTCAAAAGGAAACAGCAACTAGGACTGTAAAAATGCAAATGAGAGTAGCTTCGGAAGGAGAAAGATGGAAACCAATCGAGGAAGAAGCAGCGATATTTTAAACAAGGATTTTGCTTGCAAGAGTGGCATTGTGAAGAGGGAACAAAGGAAATATGATTCATCTATATCAAGAGAATGAATGAAATTGTCAACAGACTTGAGAATTATTTGAGTGTAAAATATAAGTAGAACAAGAAAAGAACAAGTAAAATATGGAGCAGGCTCTCATATTTAACCAGGACATGAGACTCTCCACGAGCATCAAAAACCATCTTTCTGTCATCACTCCCTCTCCCTCTCACTGCCTCCACACTTCTCTGTGGCTTCAGTTCTCTCTTCTCCATCTCCATGATGGCCATTGTTGCAGTTTCTTCCGCCATTTGAAGCCTTTGGTCTGCGTTCTTTTTCCATATCTCGAGCTCTGCTACTTTCTCTTTCGCAATAAGCGCTTCTTTGCAGGCGGCGTGGTACATGTTTATTGTCTCATTCAGCTCTTTCTTCAGCCTTCTCTTCTCAGCCCCGGCGTCCTCCATTGGTGTCAGTGACGTAGCTTCACCTGAAGGACTATTTAGATAGATTGGAAACTTGGATTTCTCATCATTCAGACCAGAGAATCTAGGAATCTCCAACAATATCGAAGCACCAAGTTTCTCATAGAAAGAGAGAACCGGACTATCTGTACTGATCCTGTCACTAATGTTCACAGAAGAATCTGTGTCAAAGCCGGATGAGAACTCCTCAAAGAAAACGTCGTCCTCTCTTGATAATGACCTGTCCAAATCCAAGATAGCCAACCAATTCAAGTAGAAGTATAATCTCAGGGCATAAACATAATGTTAAAGGGGGTTATGGTAGATTACTTACATCTCAAAGGCAGGCTCGTCGCTGTTGCTGATCGGTGACAATGGTGCAGTCCCAGAAGAAGAAGATGGTAAGGGTTGGGGTAAAGGCCGAGTCGCTGACCGTACGCTTGATAGTTTTCCTTTTGATATGACTAAGACAGTGCAGAAGTCTGGAGCCCATCTCATCACGTTACTTGGGATGTCATCAACCTTAAAAAGCCTTCAAATCAAAGATCATCCTAAACCATTTTAGGGAATTGCAAAACAAAGATTAACCAACTTAGGAAATAAGTTTGTGACCTTGTAATGCTCTTCTTTAACGAGGCCCCTAGCAAGAATGTAGAAATAAAGTTCTGGCTAATATATTCGATCAATGCTTTGGCCACATCCTGATCTTCAAGCAGAACTACTTCGCTTTGTATCTGAGAATACACATGAATCAGAGAGACATAAGGACATGTTAAGAGAAGAAAAAAAAGAAGAAAGAAAAGAAAACAGACCTCATACTTACATTTCGTCGCATACAAAGACAACGCATAGGAAGAAACTGAGTGTTTTGTTTGCCATTTTGTTGTCTTTCAGACGATTCATCATCTGTAGAAGGTCCATTTGAATTCACAGCAGATCTTTGCATGACATGAACGAGTTTTATTGTTCCACCTCGGGGTATATAATGTTCCAAAGCCCATTTTAGAGCTTGGCAGCTTGTTTTATCTATGTCGACTGCAATTGCTATAGGCCCTTCCCTTAATTCATTTCTCTCCATATTTTCTCTCAAATTCAAGATCATTTCCACTCAAAGAAATTGCAAAATTGGTTACTCATCATTCTGCAATTTAAAGAAGGATATATATCAATTAACAATACACTCAAATTTTATCAATGAACATGTCACTGGTTCATGGGAAACAACAAAAAATATAAAAAAAATAAACATCTAGTTACCAGAAACGCAGAGGAATCTAAGTGGAGGCAACATGAGATTTGCAAAGACTTGATTTGTAGAGAAACAAAAATTAAAAAGAAAAGAAAACCAAAACCAAAACCCTTCCACTTTGGGAGGAGAACCGTATATTGCTAAAAATAGAACTGTTATGAATGTGTTAATGCATGGACAAAAAAACTAACTCCAGGCCACAAAAATTTTGTTAAATAACAAATAACTACCAGCATTAAGTTTCAAACAGCGTCATGAAACAAATCATTTGAATAACGACTGCAAATTTTCCTTCCCGTTCTCAAAACAGTTCTGTTGGAGTTTGGACCTGACCGTTGAAAAAATCAGACCTACTATATACATGGGTAAATTCTGGTTGGGAGGTGAAATTTCTCAACTTGGAGTTGCAATCGTCAAAGGTGTTATTTTGGTTTGGTTTAGTTAAAGTTTGCTTTGGACTTTTGTCAAAATTAAACAGAGACTATTCCTTGTCTAGAGACATATGTTAACAAGAGAAAGGCAAACTTAAGAAACAAGATCATATTGGTTTGACCTTTTCACCATTGTCATTCATTGCTACTCACTTTCATATCCTTCTTTGTACTGTGAATGACAATGGTGAAAAGGTACTCCCAAAAAAGCACATTAAACATGATCTCGATGAGAAGGAATTTAGGGGAAGATCAATGATGCTTTCATTAATCTTCTTTTGCACAGACTTTATGATTAAACTCTTTCCTACAAGGCTACAACAACCATAATCTTAATTTAACTAAAAGCTATGCTAAAAATATTTATTGGACTATAAAACCGGTATTATCTCTTTTTAAAAACACTATAAAACTGAAAATTGTGTCTTTTCTTAAATTAAATTTGATAGAGTTAGTTTTTTTTCTTTCTTTTAATTTAGGTCTTTTTAAAAAAAAAATCCTAAACTAATACTATCAGGTTTGGGTCTCCCTTGAGCTCTCTACATACACACAGACTTGTAGGTAACGAACGACTGGTCCGGGGCGCATATTAGCGTGCGGCAAAGAAGAAACAAAACAAACAAAGAAAACAAAACCAAAAAAAATGAAAATTGGGAATCTTGTTATCCTAATTTTCTAAACCTACCCTTTGTCTCACCTCGATCCTCTCTCGTCTTCTCTATCACCAACACTGTCGCCAACACAAAGGGTCTCTCCGATTTTCTCATTCAGTCTCTGGGTTTCCATTGTCTCTGGTTAGTGTCCTTCAATTCAACCTCTTTTCTCTCCGATTTTTTGTTTTTTTTTTTCCTGGGATATATCAATTTTGTGTATCGGTGCGGTGGTAGAGTTTCTGAGTCTCTCTTCGTCTTATCCATTGGAAGTTTCTTCTCTATCTTGGTCTGATTCTACTTTGTGGTTGACCCAAGTTTAAATTTTTTGATGCTCTTCGATTTCTGTAGTATGAAATGTGTGTTTGCATCTATCACTCAGTCTTTTTGTTCGTTTCGCTGATTGCGATTCTGAGCTTATTGTGTTCCAATGAGCTCATTTACAGAACATGGATTCGTGGAATTTTGGGAAATCGGCGTTGACTTGTTTGTTTTTTCACCAAGTGAACAAGATGGCTGATACATACAATATTGTTGCATACTCTTCATTAGCTTATAAAGCATCATCTCCTCGTTGTGTCTGTTGTGCAGGTAGAATGAAAGGCTTCAAAGACTGGGTTTTGGCTCTATCCAACTCCATGGCATCATCGAGACCGCTTTTGGGAAGTGACCCTTTTTTCCGAGAGAATGAACAACAGGATAACCACTGTATGATCTTTCTCTCTCTCTTCTCTCCTCATTTCCTTTGTTAGTGTTCTTGTGGTTTACTTTTATTTGGTTTGAATTGCTTCAGAATGATTCGTTGCTATGTCCATTGCTTTTCAAAACTGAATTGGACTTTGATTTCTGATACTTTAGCCAATTGCTGAATCTGTTCATGTTGATTTATTTGATCCTTCTCAAAAGTCTCTCTTCTTGCTGTTTTTAATGTTTTCTTTGATTTTTATTTCTAGCTCAAGCCCCTGCTTTACCAGAACCAGTGGCACGCTCGGAAACACCATGTTCAACCAGTGATGTTGTGGAAATTCAGCTTCCTCTCTCTCAGCAGCAAGCTCCACTTGAAAGCTTGTACCAGTCAAGTTTTGATCTTTGCGAAAAGAGACATAATCCACTAGCAAAGATTGGTGACCTCCAAGTACAGTTCTTACGCCTTGTTCAAAGGTTGGGGCAGTCACAGAATAATATTCTAGTCTCCAAAGTTTTGTACCGGGTACACCTTGCAATGCTGATACGAGCTGAGGAATCTGAACTGAAAACAGTAAAACTCAGGCAAGATAGAGCCAAAGCACTAGCGAAGGAGCAAGAATCACGTGGCATACCGGAATTGGATTTCTCACTTCGAATCCTTGTCCTGGGGAAAACAGGTGTCGGCAAGAGTGCGACCATCAACTCTATTTTTGGTCAGTCCAAAAGCGAAACTGATGCATTCAGACCGGCCACAGACCGCATAGAAGAGGTTATGGGAACTGTTAGTGGAGTCAAAGTAACCTTTGTTGATACCCCTGGGTTTCACCCACCGTCAGCTTCTAGCACGAGAAAAAACCGAAAGATTCTGCTCTCTATCAAGAGATACGTTAAGAAGCGTCCACCTGATGTAGTCCTTTACTTGGACCGCCTTGATATGATCGACATGCGATACAGTGATTTCCCCCTCCTGAAGCTTATAAGTGAAACCTTGGGTGCAGCTATATGGTTAAACACGATACTTGTGATGACGCATTCTTCAATTGCTTCAGAAGGGCGTAATGGACAATCATTGAACTACGAGTCATATGTTGGCCAGCGCATGGATGTGGTTCAGCACTATATACATCAGGCTGTGTCTGATACGAAAATAGAAAACCCTGTGCTGTTAGTTGAGAATCATCCAAGCTGCAAAAAGAATCCTGCGGGTGAGTATGTTCTTCCAAACGGACTGGTATGGAAGCCTCAGTTTATGTTTTTGTGCGTTTGTACCAAAGTTCTCGGCGATGTCCAGTCTCTGCTGAGGTTTCGTGACAGCATTGGCCTGGGACAGCCAAGTAGTACCCGAACAGCTTCCCTTCCTCATCTTCTTTCAGTTTTCCTGCGCCGTCGCTTATCATCAGGTGCAGATGAAGCAGAGAAAGAGATAGACGAGCTTCTGAATTCGGACTTAGAGGAGGAAGATGAGTATGACCAGTTGCCTGCAATCCGGATCCTTGGGAAAACTCGATTTCAGAAGCTGGCCAAGTCTCAGAAGAAAGAGTATCTTGACGAGCTTGATTACAGGGAAACCCTTTATCTGAAGAAACAATTGAAGGAAGAATGCCGAAGAAGACGGGATGAAAAGCTAGTTCAAGAGGAAAATCTCAACAAGGACGCCGAGCAAAGCGACCAGGCTGCTGTTCCACTGCCTGACATGGCGGGTCCAGACAGTTTTGATTCAGATTTTCCGGCGCACAGATACCGATGCATTGCGACAAGTGACCAGTGGCTTGTGAGACCTGTCTATGATCCTCAGGGTTGGGATCACGATGTGGGCTTTGATGGAATAAATATTGAGACAGCTGCAAAAATAAAGAGGAATCTATTTGCTTCAGCTACTGGACAGGTGAGCAGGGACAAGCAACGTTTCACTATCCAGTCTGAGACTAATGCAGCTTATACTACAGACTCTAGTAAACAGACATTCTCAGTAGCTGTTGACCTTCAGTCATCAGGAGAAGATCTGGTGTACTCGTTTCAAGGCGGCACAAAGCTTAAGACTTTTAAGCACAACACAACCGATCTTGGAGTGGCTTTGACATCTTTTGGTGGGAAGTACTACATAGGGGGAAAGCTTGAGGATACTTTATTGGTTGGGAAGAGGGTGAAGTTAACGGTGAATGCAGGTCATATGAAGGGTGCGGGGCAAACAGCACATGGCGGGAGCTTTGAAGCTTGTATCAGAGGTAGAGATTACCCGGTCAGAAACGAGCAAATCGGTCTTACAATGACAGCTCTGTCTGTCAACAAAGAGCTTGTCTTGAACTGGGGTTTACAGACGCTGCTTAGACCAAACCGGGATACGAACATAGACGTGAACGTAAACATGAACAATAGGAAAATGGGGAAGATAAACGTGAAACTCAACAGCTCTGAGCACTGGGAGATTGCATTGATCTCTGCGTTTACGATTTTCAAGGCTTTACTACGGCGGAAGAAAGTTGTGAGTGAAATGACAAGGGAATATGAAGAAGAGTTGTGAGTTTTCTCTTTTTGTTTTTCCTGATTTCGCTTCTAAAATTAGGTAAAAGAAAATATGTTTTGGACATATATGATTAGATAATTGATGTATACAAGAGATGTTTGAAAGACAAAACAGGAATCACTTTTACTCATCTCCTTCCATTGTTCTATGTTATGCTCTCGTTTTGTTGGGTCTCGTGGGATGTTTACGTGGTTCGTTAGAATAGCCTTCTAAAAACAAAGATCAAAGCAATGGTTACAATTTAGCCGTTTATTATACATGTAACCTTCGAGGAATAATCTATGTACTTGTTGTTCAAAACTCCTTAAGCCTATTATTATTCTTGTGCTTGAGCTTAATATAATAAGATCATAGCAATCTTTTATCTGTGAAAACTCACATCATTGTAAACATATTATGCTATAGTTTTAGTTGACTGATCATGCTTAAGATATCATATAATTATGTCTCGACTTCTAGCACTTGTACCAGAAGCAACTGTTGTGTTTCGACGCTCAGTAGTCACTAGTCAGTAGCTTAATATATACTGAGACTCATTCCCTCTAATTAATGACAGTTTTCATGTTTCGACCCTTAGCCAGTTAGCCCAACAACAAGAGAAGTGATAAAATAAAGAAACGTTTTCACAAATCAGAAAATTGTTTGATCATTATGAAGGCCCAAATAAATTATATGGGCCCAATAGTAAAAAGGGGATATTAGGGTTTTTAACGCACACTCCATTTTTATATATATTGTCGTCTATAAAAAGTTTGTTCCTCTTTCTCACCGGCGCAGCAAAACCCTAAGAAGCAACCATGGGTACGAGCATTTTCTTCTCGATTTCTATACCCCATGAATCTCTGTTCTTCCTTTCTGTGTATCGTGATGAATGTATTGACGCTAGAATCTGATATGGAACTTGAATTTTGTTAGGTATTTCTCGTGACTCCATCCACAAGAGGCGTGCCACTGGAGGTAAACAGAAGGGATGGAGGAAGAAGCGAAAGTAAGTTATGTTCTTTTTTTCTAGTTTCTTCATGTTCAGATCTCTTTCGATGTATATTCTTTTCTTAATTGAGGCGTAGTTGTGATCTGAAAATTCGAGCGCTTGCCTTAGTAGGTGCGTTCTCTTATCTTCTGATCAGTTTCCTGATATCATTCCAATGTTCTGGAATTAGCGAAACATTAGTGAAAGGTTATATCTCTTAGTGTTTGGACTAATAATCTCAGGAAATGTAGTATTAGTGGAAGTATAGCTCAAGAACACCGTATATAACTCATCGTGAGCTCTTAAAATATTGAAACATTGTCTTGATTTGTTAGATTAATTTATATTTGTTGCTTGCATTTCTTGTGCCCTGATTCATCATACCCGTGATTTATCTGTTTGTATTCTTCTGGTTTGTAAAGTTTGGGTTTTGGTTGTTGAAGGTATGAAATGGGAAGGCAGCCTGCCAACACCAAGCTGTCGAGCAACAAAACGGTCAGGAGAATCAGAGTCCGAGGAGGTAATGTCAAGTGGCGTGCGTTGAGACTCGATACCGGTAACTACTCCTGGGGAAGTGAAGCTGTCACCCGCAAGACGAGAGTCCTTGATGTGGTCTACAATGCATCCAACAACGAGTTGGTTCGTACGAAAACACTTGTGAAGAGTGCTATTGTACAGGTGGATGCTGCACCCTTCAAGCAGTGGTATCTCCAGCACTATGGTGTCGAGGTTGGTCGCAAGAAGAAGACTGCCGCTGCTGCCACCAAGAAAGAAGGAGAGGTGAGACGATTCTTTTCTCTGTTGGACAATTGATTCCTTTTGCTTATATGATCTGAAGTTTGGTTCCCTTTTGCTATGTCTCACGATTCTATTTATTGTCTATTATACAGGAGGCTGAAGTTGCAGCTCCAGCAGCTGCTGCTCCGGAGGAGACGAAGAAGAGCAACCATGTCCAGAGGAAGATCGAGCAGCGTCAAGAGGGTCGCAGTCTTGATTCACACATTGAGGACCAATTTGCAAGCGGTCGTTTGTTGGCCTGTATCTCATCAAGGCCTGGCCAGTGCGGACGTGCTGATGGGTATTCATCTCGTGCCTTGATTCATTTTTTTTGTTTGTTTGAAATCTTCTTGATTCATTTTGTTTATGCGATCTTTCTTGTAAACTTTGTGCAGATACATTCTGGAAGGCAAAGAATTAGAGTTCTACCAGAAGAAGATCCAGAAGAAGAAGGGAAAGGGTGCTGCTTAGAGATTCTTGTTCCTTTGCTTTGTTTCTTCAAAAATGTTTTGAGTTTTTTGGTTTCATCTCTCTCAGAACCTATGTTTTTGAACTAGCTCGCTTTTGTATTTTGCATGAACACATCAATATGGAACTATCGTTGGCTCAGATTTTTATCTTGATTTTAAATTTATAATTTCACTGGTTACTACTGGTTTTAAAATTGTCAAATTGCGTTGATTTCAGTCAGTGTTTTGAATTGATCTAGCCTTAAGTAAAATGCTTTGTTGTCATACTATCAGAGAATTGGAACAAATATTCAGCTGTGTCAGTTTTACCAATATAGCTGTATAAAGTGATATTCTCTGAAACCGTTCTCCGTTTACAATGATATGTTTGTTTAGCACTAAATTTCATAGTTGAAAAAAAAACCTAAAAAGAATCAGTTTAGCAATGATATACGTATGTTTTTTTTTGTGTGCGAATGTTTATGATCAGTTTATGACGTGTAAACCAAATCTTAATCAGATTGAATGGAAGAAGAGGAATAAAAAGGTTGTCACAAACTTACAATATCACTGTCAAACAACTAATTAAGAAGAAAGACTTTAATTTTCTTACATTTGCAATTATTCAACCAAAAAAGAAAGTTCTAATTATCAAAGAAAGATATTTTCATCGACAGTGTTTTCCCCTATTACTATTATCAAAAACTAAAAATATGAGTGTAGTAAAAAATAAGTAATTAAAAAAAAGGTGGGCAGAGTTTTTGAGCCGTTCGAAACGGATGCGTGTCGTGTGACCTGTGTATCGTCACTAACCCCACAGTCCAGCTGAGTGGGTTTGTCCTCTATCGATCAAAAGCAACCAAAAGGTACGAGATAACCACCGATTCCACTCCCATCACACAAGATATTCGCATCAGCAGAGAGGATCTTCTTCGATCGTCCACTTATGGCCGGCAACGATTGGGTTAACAGCTACTTGGAGGCTATTCTCGACGTCGGCCAACCGCTCGACGATGCTCGTCCTTCTCTTCTTCTCAGGGAGAGAGGCCGATTCACTCCCAGCCGTTACTTCGTCGAGGAAGTCATCACTGGATTCGATGAGACTGATCTCCACAGATCCTGGGTCAAGGTACCACCACCACCACTCTTTCCTTTTTTGCCATCTGTGATCGATCGAGGTGATGATGATGAGTTTTTATTGTGTGTGGGTTTTGTTTAGGCCGTCGCTACGAGGAGTCCCCAGGAGAGGAACACAAGACTGGAGAATATGTGTTGGAGGATCTGGAATCTCGCTCGTCAAAAGAAGCAGGTCCCTTTTTTTGGCAAACTGTAGATGCAAATTTTAACCGACTCCTCCTGTTATATTGTCAATATTTCTCCTTTTTGCTCGGAACTTAATAAAAGTGGGGTTTTCTTTGTGTGTGTGGAGAGAATATATCACGACGGATCTTAATGTTTGACTCTCAAGTCAATTTGTTCATTTTGGTCTCCTCTTGTTTGAGTTATTCCAAAGTGTTCCTGTTTGCATTTGGCATTTTCTATTTTTAAAAAGGAGGATAAAAAAGTACACAACTTGAGAAGAACAATTAGAAAAAGAGGATAAATATTACGGTATTGACTAGTAGTCTTTTAAAATCGATCTTGCTTTGGTTTGGCATAACATTTTAAATTTTAGTAAGCTTTCCTGTCCTGCCTTTGGGAGCTGGAGAATAGATGACTGTAACACATGATTTTGCGACCCTGTCTCGTTTGAAATATTATATAGATATGAACTTGATGTGGTACTTTGTGTGCTTGTGATTTCCCCACATTATCGATTAGAATTTCTTCGGTTGGCACATTAACATCTTATGAGTGTTGACAACTCATCTTCTGTCTGCCCATTCTTATGTTTTTGCAGCATGAGGAAAAAGAAGCACAGAGGTTGGCTAAGCGCCGGCTTGAGCGTGAGAGAGGCCGCAGGGAGGCAACAGCTGACATGTCCGAGGAGTTTTCAGAGGGAGAGAAAGGAGATGTCGTCAGTGATGTATCAACTCATGGCACGAAAGGCAGGTTACCCAGGATTAACTCTGCTGAGTCGATGGAGTTATGGGCAAGCCAGCAGAAGGGAAACAAGCTGTATCTTGTTTTGATCAGGTGTGTGCTCAAAGTCTCCTCTCTAGGCCTTTTTTTTTTTTCCTATGTATTTAGCATATAATCTGAGTAAACGTTTAGCAAATGATCTGCCAATTGAGAATTTGTAAGGATAATGATGGAAAGTATTAGGAATGTTCTTGTGTGATAGTTGTTTAACACTCAGTGTGTGCATGCAGTCTTCATGGTCTCATACGTGGTGAAAACATGGAGCTTGGACGGGATTCTGATACCGGTGGCCAGGTAATGATATGGAATATACGAGTGATTGTGTAATGTTGTATAAGTTTAGGCTACTTCTCACCACTCTGCTTCTGGCGTTACAGGTTAAATATGTTGTGGAACTTGCACGGGCTTTGGGATCAATGCCAGGAGTTTATAGGGTTGACTTGCTTACCAGACAAGTGTCTTCACCAGATGTTGACTGGAGTTATGGCGAACCGACGGAAATGCTGACTCCTAGAGATTCTGAAGATCTCTCGGACGAGATGGGGGAGAGTAGCGGTGCTTATATCGTGAGAATACCATTTGGTCCAAAGGATAAGTACATTCCGAAAGAACTTCTATGGCCTCACATTGCTGAGTTTGTTGACGGTGCGATGAACCACATCATGCAAATGTCCAATGTTCTCGGTGAACAAGTTGGTAGTGGGAAGCCTATTTGGCCTTCTGCCATCCATGGACACTATGCCGATGCTGGTGACGCTGCTGCTTTGCTATCAGGTGCACTGAATGTGCCTATGATTCTCACTGGCCACTCACTCGGTCGAGATAAATTGGAGCAACTTTTGAAACAAGGCCGCCTTTCAAAGGAAGAAATCAACTCAACTTACAAGATTATGCGTCGAATAGAGGGGGAGGAATTATCGCTTGATGTTTCTGAAATGGTAATAACTAGTACACGGCAGGAGATAGATGAGCAATGGAGATTGTATGATGGTTTTGACCCCATATTGGAGCGCAAATTGCGAGCAAGGATCAAGCGGAATGTGAGCTGCTATGGACGATTCATGCCTCGTATGGTTGTAAGTAACTTATACCCTAGATATATCTTTGATCCTTAGACCACTGACATGGTTAACACAGACTGAAATATATGCTTTTCAAAGTTAAGGTTTTAGTGCTGTCAATTAGGAGATGTTGGTCTAGCTGCAGCAACCTTGTTACACAACTTCTAAGTTTTAACACGGTAGATCATTGGTTAATAGTACTTTTTTGCTTCAGAAAATTCCACCTGGGATGGAGTTCAATCATATTGTCCCACATGATGGTGATATGGAAGACGCAGATGGGAATGAGGAACATCCAACTTCTCGAGATCCACCAATATGGGCTGAGGTTCTTACTTGAAAATAGCATCTAGATCACAGTTATCAGCTTATCCTCATCATCTTTCTGTCAAGCAGTTTACTCGAGCTCCAAATTCTATATGTGCTGCAGATAATGCGTTTCTTTTCAAATTCCCGAAAGCCTATGATACTTGCGCTTGCGAGGCCCGACCCCAAAAAGAATATCACGACGTTGGTGAAGGCATTTGGAGAATGTCGTCCACTCAGAGAGCTTGCTAACCTGGTATGTAAATGTCACTCTCTAGCACTTTGGCTGTTTGTTGTATGTTTCTGTTTTGATCACCATTTTGTTTTCCTTATCTTCCATCTTTCTGGTCTGCAGGCACTTATAATGGGTAACCGTGATGGGATTGATGAAATGTCGAGTACGAGTTCTTCTGTCCTCCTTTCTGTTCTGAAGCTAATTGACAAGTACGATCTCTACGGTCAAGTTGCGTACCCTAAACATCACAAACAGTCAGATGTTCCCGACATATATCGCCTAGCTGCAAAGTCTAAGGTACTCTTGGCAGATTATTGTCAACTGCTGCGTATTATGTTTGCTTCAACGGTTTGACACTACGTAGGATACTTCTGTCGATTCTTTTCTTTAGTAGATTTATTATTGTGCATGGATTCTTTGCAGGGTGTTTTCATCAATCCAGCTTTCATTGAACCATTTGGACTTACTCTTATTGAGGTATTGATTTTTCTTTATTGTCAAATGTGTTTGTTTCATGACTCATTTCTTGTCATCTTAAGTAAAATGTGTTTCTTTTTTGCCCTCTAGGCTGCAGCCCATGGTTTGCCAATGGTTGCTACGAAAAATGGTGGTCCTGTAGATATACACCGGGTATGCTTTCTTACGATAAATCATTGAAATCATCAAGACTATTATGTACCTTTCTCCGTGTTCTAACATGTACCTTGGAGATTTTCTTCCAGGTCCTGGACAATGGCCTTCTTGTAGATCCTCATGATCAGCAATCTATTTCCGAAGCTCTTCTTAAGCTTGTTGCTGATAAGCATCTATGGGCAAAGTGTCGTCAAAACGGGTTGAAGAACATTCACCAATTCTCCTGGCCAGAGCATTGCAAGACTTATCTATCTCGCATAACCAGCTTCAAGCCAAGACATCCGCAATGGCAAAGCGATGATGGCGGTGATAATTCAGAACCTGAGTCACCCAGTGACTCTTTGAGAGATATACAGGACATATCCTTGAACTTGAGGTTTTCATTTGACGGAAGTGGGAACGACAATTCCATGAATCCAGAAGGGAGCTCCATGGACAGGAAGAGCAAAATCGAAGCTGCCGTCCTAAATTGGTCTAAAGGCAAAGATAGTCGCAAAATGGGATCACTGGAGAGGTCAGAGGTTAACTCTGGAAAATTCCCGGCGGTGCGGAGAAGGAAGTTTATTGTCGTGATCGCTCTTGATTTTGATGGGGAGAAAGACACACTAGAGTCTACTAGAAGGATTCTGGAGGCTGTTGAAAAGGAAAGAGCCGAAGGATCTGTTGGGTTCATATTGTCGACATCACTAACAATCTCTGAGATAC